TTTTTGGTTTTTTTTGTGTGCATTCAGGAGAAAATCCTGTCTCACCTGCAATCCCTAAGGAAGGTGTTGGCAGAATCAGAATTTCTGGACTGGAGAGTGAGTGAAGAGAAGAGACACCAGGACTACCTGGTACAGGGGGTCCCCTCTGTTCTTCAGCAGTCTGAATGAGTCTTTGGGTATTTATTTTTCCACAAGCCCCTCTTGAAGAAACACGTGGGATCATATCCAAGAGGCATCCTGGCACCCTGCAAAACTCTAATCCAGTTGGAGTGGCTGGTGCAGATCCTGGGAAGGTTTGGCAAGCACCACCTCCAAGTGCAGCTGCTTATTATCCGCACTTTAAATCAATGTCATGGTGCTGCTCATTTTCATCCCAGGCTGAGCAATAGAGGGACACTTGTTAACATGGAATTAACACTCCCCCCCTGCTTCTCAGAGCCTGGATTGGTTTTGGACAGAATATAGAGGAGAATGGCAACAGGGGAGGGAAAAGGAGAACGGTGGGGTAAAGTAGGTAATTACACTGCAGTCGCTAATCCGCTGCACCCCCAGCCCTGCCCTATTGTTACAGCCTCCCTGGATACAGCGGAAGCACTTTTGTCCTTTAACTCAGAAGGGAAAATTCAGGTCTGGGGGTTGCATATACATTTCTTGTCTCCTCCGGGAGAGGAGTGAAGCCGAGCGGCGCCGCATATGAGGCTGAGTTTGAGCGGCTGCTGGCAGAGCCGGAGCGCACCGTGCTGGGGCTGCTGGCTGAGCTGGACCACACCTTCTAGCTACCCGTGCCGAAAAATCACTGCCGGTGGCCGAGGGGGTTGCACAGCTTCACAGACTCATCGGGCAGCTAGAGGCCAGGTGCTTACCCCTGATGAGTGCTGTTCTTACCTGAAAGCTGTCCCAAAGTGCTGCCTATGGGGTCTTGAATTCCCTTTTTTCTCCCTTTTTCCTTTTAGGATGTTTGGAGCATAATAAGCCGGTATGTGGCGACTGGTTGCTTCATATCCCTATCACTCCAGCTGTGGAGAGGTGCTTGGCTGCTACATCCATCACATAAAACCTTTCCCTGTAATTTCTTTTCTCAGCTTGAGTGAAATGAGGCTCCACCTCCCTTCGGGGCTCACCAAGGAGCTGGAGAAGAGCCTGAGCTCCTGCTGCCACGAAAGTGATGCTCTGTGGGAGGCTCTGGAGAAGTTCAGAGGTATTTGAGTAGAAATTGGATATTTTAGGAGAATTCAGAGGAATTTTATGAAAATATGGGGGCTTTGGGGAAGAATGCAGAGGTATTTGGGATAATTCAGATATTAGGCTATACTGGGGGAGGAATTCAGTTATTTTGGGAGGAATTCAGTTGCATTTTGGGATAATTTAGTTATCTGGGGAGAAGGCAGAGGCATTTCAGGAGGAAGAGGAGCTTGTGCAAGGGAAGGGTAGCAGAAGGCTCTGCACCTGCTCACTCCCCCACCTTCTTCCCTCCCCCCAGACACAGATTGCCCCATGGGTCTCGCCACAACAAAGACAATGCTGGAGACTGGCATGACTCCTCTCCCACAGCTTTTGGCAGAGAGAAAAAGTGTGCAGTGGGATGAGGAGGAGGAGCAGGATGAGGCCAGAGAACCCTGCTGAGGCTAGGAGCTGGCTGGTAGCTCTCAGGTGGTCATTGCCAGGAGATGCAGGACGTGGACACAGTAGGTGGACTCTGCAAGATGCCACCTGTGCATCTTCATCCTAGGTGCTGCCCATACTCCTAGGGAGACAAATGGTTTTATTATGAGAAGCTCCCCTTCCAGCTGCTTCAATTAGCAACCAATCTTGTGTTGCTGCTCACCATGTAGGTAATGAATTAAAAAACAAAAAATACCACCCCCAATTTTCCTTTTGTGTATATGTGTGTGTGTGTGTGTGTGTGTGTGTGTGTATGCATCAGCTAGATTTTAAGGTCTGCTGGGCCAGGGAGAAGGGAGCAGGTGAGCGAGGGGCAGCGGCATACACGGGTCCCGGTTCTCGGGTGCGGAGTGGCGGACACGTCCCGGGGCCTAAACTTGATTAGAAAGCAGCACGTCTCGCTCTTCCCTGCCTCTGGAAGCGGCTGCCCGGCTCTGGCTGTCGTCACTCGGCTGTCCCCACACGATAAGCAGCGCAGTAAGCGGCGACTCCCCGCGGGACCGCGCCTGTTCCGTCCCGCGGTGCAGCTCTCAGCGGCCATCCCCTGCTGCGGCTCTTTATTTATTTTATTCTGCTCTGTACGTTCCATTCGCATCTCGCCCCGCTATCGGTGCAGCCCTTTAGGTGACACCGTCAGAGGCGACAGTCACCTCCCGGCACAGCTGCTAGCGGCTGGCGGCCGGGCAGCGGCCGGAGCGGCTCGGGCCGCGCTGCCCGCTCCGTGCGCCTCCGGCAGCGCCCTCGGGGCAGCTTTCCTGGTGACTCCGACACCGGCACGGCTGGGCTCGGCTCCGGTATCGCCTCCTCGCCCCGAGGGGCGGCCCACCTACACCGCACCGCCACGGCCACCCAGTTTTTATTTCACTTCAACCCTCCCAAGCTGGTATCCACATGAGCTCCAGGGAACTCTGCTCTCTTACCACATTCCTGCTTTAATCCTTGTCTCCTGGAGCCCCCTTCTGGCCTCACTGCCTCCCCCGGTGCAGCCGGAGGGGTAAGAATTTGCCGTGTAAATAAGTCGTCCCTCCCAGGCCTCCGCTGCCTGCGTTCCCATCTGTCCGTACGTCGCCGCTGGCGCTGTTCACGGTGGGAATGTCGGTCCCGCCCGGGGCTGCCTCTGCTTGGCAGGCTCGGGACACCGGCACCAGCTCCCGCCCCGCCGCCGCCTCCAGGAGCGCCTGGCCCGGCCTCTTCGGGTGCACGCTGCCCCGAGTCCGTCCTGTAAGCAACCGTGGCCAAGGGAAACGCCATCAGATACCTCCAGGGCGAAACCACGTACCCTGTTTGCTTGGCTTTCTTCCAGGATCCTCTCATGTACCTGAGCTGCGGCCCCAGTTTCTGCTGGCGCTGCCGGTCGCACTCTGTGCCGGCAGTGCCATTACTGTGCAGTAGAGATAACCAGGTTTTAGCTTTTATATTTTTCAAATTCTGTACTGCTTTAGTGTGTAGTTCTGAGCTTCATATTCAGGGATAATTAACTCTCTTCACAGAGTAAGTGGACAAAACAATTCCTTCTATAGCTGGGGACCAAGGACAACCGATCCAAATCTCAGACCCAAGAGCATAAGCAATGGTAGACTGAAGAGAGGAAAACAAGAAGGACGGGACTTCCAAACCTAAAGCTATAATTGGACAATTAACTCCAATATGCTAATGGAACAGAACTTAAAAACGTGGGAGATCTCGTGATCGGTCATCCATTTTGTGACTATTTTGGGTTCAACTTGGGTGTAGTACTGGATGGGCTCCTGTGCTGCCCAAGGTGTATCCATTGAGGCCTTTTAATAAATCCCTACTTTATTCTTTAACTCTGTCTAGCCACTGTTGTAGGTCAGCCTTCACAAGGCATCAATGGCTTCCACCCCAGATGGCAGCTGACCAACGTGATGGTGGCCGTGCAGGATCTGTGCCACAGGCACCAGTGACCCCTCACTCTCTTCTGTCACAGTGATGGAATCCTTGTCTGCACCACCTACACCGAGCATCGCACCAATCCTGCCGTGCTGCTCAAAGAGGCCTCTTGCTGCTACAAGGGGAGCAGATCCCTGGCTCAGACACTCTCCACCTGCCTGAATGACACTAATTTCCCTTCAAACTCAGCCCCCAGAATATGTATTTTGAGCAGAGGCAAGGATTTTCCCTGTCTTTCTGGGTGGGGGGGAAAAGCAATGCAAACATCTAGAAACCAAAACTAAGCTGAAATGCTGCCATTTCATAGGGTTAAGTATGAAACAGTATAGTGGGTGGTAGTTTTGGGACCAAAACTAAATACTGGAGATTTCAAACTCCTGCTCTCACCTGGCACCTGTGCTGTGGAGGGTTCCTATTATGCTTCCAGGCACAGAGGGGAAAAGGGGGTCCCCAAAGGGTGTTTGGACTTGGCTGTGGGAGCAAGGAGTGGGGGAAAGGGGATGGAAGCATGGTCAGAACTTTTTAAGGTCTGGTGGCAACTTTTTTACAGGGGACCTTGGAGAGATGGCATACATATCCCAGCCTATCTGGGAGACCTGTAGTGCCCAGGTATCACTGTTTGTTTACATAACTGTGTGAGTAAGGTGAGGGTGTGCATGCAGCATAACTGTGAAATTAATTATAACATAGATATGAATGTACATATCTGCTTCAGTGCAGTGGAGGGTGAGGATGGGGCCATCTGTGCTGGCCATATCCCTGGTGCTTTAGGGGTTCCAACCCCTTCTCCTTCTTTTCTTCCTTTGTCCAGGAGTATAAACCGCTTTTCTCTGCAGAAGGAGTTTGAACTGTGCAGGAGGAGAAGCGATGTGCTGGGCTGACTGAGGCAGCAAAGGAGACAAGACAGGAGATGCTGCTGGGTGGTGCTGCCATCTGGGTGCACCATGGGGGTGACACTGCTTCATTCCCCCTCCAGCATCCTTCTCCTTCTCCTTCATCCCCCAGACTCGAGTCAGTGCTGCCAAGCAGAAGCTGCGAGTGATACTGAAAGGGTTCCACCAGGTGCTGAGTGACCAGGAATCACAGTTTCTTTCCCAGTTCCATCGCCTGTGCTGGAGGTTGGAGGAACAGCAACGTGGTGAAGCTGTTGAGATGGATCTGCAATGCCATGCAGAGCTCCAGGCCAAGTGCCAGCAACCAGATGGTGACCTGCTATGGGTGAGATAAAACTTGGCCTCAGAATCTGGTTCCCCCTTTTTGGCTTTTATTCACTAAAGCAGCCCTAAGCATCTTTCTCCCTCTCCAGGATGTCTGAACCACCTTGAACAGCTAAAAAACATCACCAGGAACACCAGTTTTGGCCCCCAGCCCTCAATTTTTTGGATCTTCTTCTCTCCCTGTGTTCTTTTCCTCTGGGATTTTTGCTTTGAAGCTAGAGAGGATTGATGATTAATCCAAAATTTCATGATGATGGGGGAATCTTCCATCATATCTTGCAGGAGTGGGAGCCTTGCCCACAGAAGTAAAGATGTCCCAGTGGTTCTCTAGCAATGGGGAAAGGAAATTTGGGAATTTCTTGGCATTAAACACCCCAGTTTACTCCCCCTGAGGTGCACAGAGAGGAAGGTACATCCATCACTGCTGTTGATGTCAGAACTGGAAACAGCTTGAGGATTCAAAAAATCAACATACTGGAGAAGCAGTGATACAATTAAAGGTTCATGGAGGGTCAAAATTAGCAAAAAAGGGAATTTATTAAGCAAAAATGGGAAGGCAGATTTGGCTGGAAAGTGAAAACATGGCAGATGCTCATTTATTTAAAAGAAAATCAGAGATTTATTCCTGATTAGCCTTAAGGGATAGAAGACTGAAGGTGGGAGGTGCAGAATGCTGTTGATGCTTAATTAGCATCCAAATTAGAACACTAATTATCTGTGGAGAGAGGTGATGCCTCAGATGAAGGGGGCTGTGTCTCCCACCTCAGATGCCTTCTCTGTGCAGCAGGGTGGATATGGGGAAGGCTCAGGGCCAGATCCAGAGCTAAAAATCTTCGGGGTCATCTTCTATTTCCAGACATCTTGGAATGCTCTCTGGAGGAAGCCTCAGAGGGATACCAGATAGGTGAGTCTGGCTTCAGGGACTTACTGAACCCCCATTTGGGCTCTGTGCCTGGAGCTGATGCTCTGGTGCAGTTTTTGGAGGTGATATTCCAATGCATAGAGGCTCATGAACATCCCTCTCCCTGCCAGCAGCCGTGACCCTGAATCCAGTCTCAGCTCACACCCGAATCCTGGTGTCAGTGGATGGCTGGACTGCAGGCCACTGGGAATCACCCCCAGCTCCTCCACCCTCAGGAATGGAGTGTTTTGAGTGTCTCTGCTGTGTTTTGGGTCACCAGGACTTTGTAGGGGACTCTCATTGCTGGGCCATGGAGGTTTGTCCTGGTTCCAACTGGGCACTGGGGGTGGCTTGGGAATTCATGTCCCATAAGGATCTCAGCCCCAAACATGGGGCTTGGGCTATGGGGCAGTCGTTGGGGCAGCTGCAGGCTCTCTCCTGGCCCAGCTCTATGTCTCTGCCCCACAACCACACTGTCCAACGCATTGAGGGCAGGTGGCTTTCCGTGATGCTGATAGTCTGACTGAAGTCTTTGCCTTGCCCCCACCCACTTTCACACTCTGGCCAATGCTCTGGCTGGGCCAGGGGCCAGCTTCGCTCATCCTCTGTCCTTGAGTCCCCCAAAAATCCACTATGAACCTCCCAAGTCTAAACACTTCCACCACCCTAGCAAACACTCCACTCGAACAACAAACAGCTCCACTCTTCTGACAGCTCATTTAATTTTCCTTACAACATCTAATTTAACAATCTTATTTCACTTTTTTGCTTCTCAGTGGGAGAAAGAGGTATTTTTAATTTCTCAGCTTTTTGTTAGTAGAAGCATGGACCAGTTAAACAGGAAGAACGTCCCTAAAAGATTTTTAAAAACTTACCTTGAGGAAGAAAATGGGCTTTTCTAGTGCTGCTAGATGTCTCATGGTAAGGTTTTGCAAGCAGAAACTTTTCTGCTTGGGATTTGTAGATAATTTAGGGGAAGTGGGTTAAAACCATGTTTCATGTCTCTCAGAATCACTCAGGCTTGGGCCTTTTCAGGGCTTTGTATTCACTGCCAGCATGTAAGCAGGGAGAGAGGCCACAGACAGAATTTCATCCCCCATTTCACTGCCTACAAGTGACTAGAAGGGGAACAAAACTAAATGAACTGGTATCTTGAAGCAGCAGCAGGTTGCTGTTAGGGTTCAGCCATGTAACAAAGTGCTGTTATCAGCAAGTGCAGACAGGACTGGGCAGGTCTCTGCCTCTTGCAGTTCCCGTCACTCCTTTGCTGCCAGAATTGCCTCCTCATCCACCTGCACTCTTCACCTTAGTCTGAGGAAGAGGAGATGCTACCAGTAAAGGCAGCAAGTTTTATCTTCAGGACCCTAATTTTAGACAAGGGTCCTGACAAAACACAGGTCACAGCTAAACCCACATAACAGCCCTGCTCAGTTGTATTATTAGTTTTTTCCCTGTTTGGCTCATGGTGAGGTTGGTCTTTCCTTGAAAGACAAGGTCCAGTGATGTGTAAAGCAAAGCACTTCTTTGTAGCATCCTGCTCTAATAGTTGAATTTCCAACCCTCCATCCACTTTTCATCTGAAAAGCTTTATGAATATTTAATTTGAAAGTCCATTAAAGGAAAAAAAAAAAAAAAAACAAACCAAACCCCACCTTTTAGTGTAACTCAGTGTCCCCACAGCTTGCTCTCCAGGATTGGAGGGGCAAGGAAATCAGCCTCTTTTTACTCAAGGGCAGCTCAACAGTGTCCTGTCAGCAGCTGGGAGAGCAGATGGTTGGGTGTGGAGGGTGCACAGTCCCCAGTCCTTGAGCAGAAGCAGCAGATACACCTTGTAGCCCTCCCACAGGGACCCTTGGACCTCAAAATCCTCCTGAGTGACAGGCACACCTCATACCAACCCATGAAAGAGGCTGTGGGGAGTAGCTGAAGGGGTATTTTTTGCTGCACAAGGGTGGAAATTTTTTTCACAAAACTGGAGCCCAGGGTGGATTTTGTGGGGGTCTGGGGCTTGAAGATGAGCATTCCCATGGGGGAGTTTTAGCCATTGCCTCCTGCTTCTCTCCATGCTGCTCTTCCTCCACTAACACCTCCGGATCAGACCGAGTGGTGCACTTCCAAGGCAAGTGCAGCAGGCATGGAGGGGCAAACCTGAGAGAGGACTGCAGGTCCTCCAGGGTGTTAATCTTCTCCTGCTGCTCACTGAGGTCCACTGTAAGTGGAAAGAGGTGGATTTTGGGGATGGGTTTACAACTATTCAACTTTTAATCAACTGTTAATGATTTGTTGGTGTTGGTGGGTGCTTATAAAAATGGAGATCAAAAGGCACATTTTAAAATCAGCAGCTTGTTACCTCCAGAAGTCATAAAATACAGCTCCAGTGCAAACCAGAGGGGTGTCTTTGTTTTTAGTCCTCTGGTTTTGGGTATCCTCTGGTTTGCTCTATTTTGGGCCTTCTCCTCAAGGGAGCAGCTAGCACAGTGGGAGATGGGGATTTTCCACCTCAAAACAATGCCCACAGGGAAGAAACCCCCAAACTAGGGAGGAACTTGTTAAAGAAATGGTGGCCTCCGCGCTGCTGCCTTGAGGAGAAAGTGCTCCCCAACCCCTTTGTTTTTGATGAGGGTTGATAAACGCCCAACCCCCTTGTTTTTGAGAAGACTGTACCCTTTTAAGTGAAAATAAGACTTGTTGCTTTCAGCACTACCAGTGGACATGGGGAAGAAACAGCTCCAAAAATATTCCCAAACCCTTCCAGAATTAGCCTATATGCTGCTTGGGGGAAGGGGAGGCTTAAGTTTTTCAGGTGTCACCAGTTTGCCCAGTTCCCCCCTCCAGCAACCTTTCCTCCTCTTTTTACCCAGTTTATTGGGATAAAATGTTATAATTTAATTTATTTTTTTTCCATTTTATAATTTCTCTTTCTCTGATAAGAGATTTTTTCTCCCCAGAATGAAGCAAAGCAGGATGTTTCTCCCTCCAAGTCCCTTCATTGACCAAAATCCCCTCCAAAAAGCCACATCTGAGGGTTTATTTAAGCTAAAAAATTTTAAATTTAAAAATTTGAAATTTAAATTTAAATTTTAAAAAATTTAGATTTTTAAAACATAGGATGAAACACTATAGTGCATCATAGGGCCTTAGCAGCATGAATAGAGCTGATAGCTGGGTTGAGCAAAAGAGATCTGAATTTTGGGTAATTTTTACTTTTTGCCTTTTATTCTGTAAAACATTCACTCTGTATGGACCCATGCTTTAGACCTGAATTTCCTACATGGAAAAATTTCCCCCTGGAGCTACAGTGAGCCAGCTGTGCTTTGCTGCTCACCCAAATCATCCACACAAAAACTTACACAAAAAAATTATGAACTGAACTTTGTCTTTAAATAAACTGGTTGAACTCAGTGATTTACTGTGTCACTCATAACTTGTGTCTGGTGTCTTAGGCAAGGTGGTTTTGAGCCACACTGCAGTGCTGCCCCAGGTGGGACTGTCCAGGGAATGGGGACAGGCAGAGGTGGGGATATTCAGGGAGAAACTGATCTGGGAGAACAAAGACATCTGGGATGGGGAGTTGAGGACTTAGCAGGGAAGGGACCTCTGGGACTGGCTGGGGACCCAGGGAGGTCAGGGAGCTCTGAGGCAGATGACATGCAGTGTTGCAGGTCAGGGGTGGGTGACCTGCCCAGCTCCATGCCCCTCTGCTCCCCCTAAACACTTCTGCTGGGTCAGAGTTCACCACTCCCATGTCTGTCCTCAACAGCCAGCCCAGGGGAAGAATGAACTTCTTCATACTGGCACTTCCGTTTGACCAGCAGTGACTGATGTGACTGGCCATAAAATAATGATGCCAAGAAGCAGGAGGACACTGATAGTTCAAAGCAGGTCCAAGCCCACTGTAAAGACCAGATTAATGCCGTGAATGCGGTGTCCTGGGAGCAGTCAGGAAGGAGCACTCCGGTTTCCAGGCCACAAGAAGGTGCTCCAGCTCACTCCTCACCGAGTGTAAATCATGGATGATGATGATATTAAACCCTACACTGAGTCTGATATGGGAGAGACAGCAGTGCTGCTCGGGCTCATCTCAAGTTCCCCCAAGATGTGTGGCGTTGCTGCAGCCTCGCCAGAGCTCAGTTCAGGGGCAACAGCAGCATGGGTGGAGAGGCAACCCAGGGACTACACCTTTTGCACCTCCACAGCCCATGGCTTGGGACAACCCCAGCCTCTCCACCTGGCTCAGGGACACCCCCCACATACCCACAATCACCCAGCCTGGGGCTTCACCCTGAGCTCTGCTGCTCCTGTCCCCACCAAAACTTTGCCCTTCCCTGTGGTACCTGTCCAGCTTTAGGGTGGCAGCTCTGAAGCAAACGGTTAGTTTTGAGATCAGTCTTGCTTAGAATATCTCAAACACAGCAGGTTACATTTTTTTATTAGCTTGAAAAGAAATCCCTTGAGGCAGCTGTCCCAGTCTTTTCTTCATGCAGGGCTCTAAGCATCCATTACCAGCTAGCTGCATGGGATCAGTGTTTGAGGTCAGAAGCTGGCTGGTGCTCTGCTAGGGTGGTGGGGCCTGATGGTGGGTATGAAGAACAGAGGTAAGCACCCTGAAGCCCAGAGACATTTACATGGCCAGAGAACCCCAGGGACAGGGTACTGTCCCCTGCCCTCCAACATAGGGGCTGTTTTCCACACTGGCCAGGGCCATCTCCACACTGCACTCCATCTTGAACACACCCAGGGACTAGCTGTCCCATCCACCAGTCAATCCCTCCATCCTGCTTCCACCCCTCCTCAGCCTGCCCCAGACCCTCCCTGCACCTGCCCAGGTGTGCAAATAGAGCCCTGCTCACCCATCACCAGAAAACAGCTAGGGGTCTCTCCCCCCAGCACTGGTGTCCTGACAGGCCATACCCAGCTCGTCCTGTGCCCTCTTTGCCACCTCAGGCCTGTGCTCCTGGCCCTGATCCACATGGTCATCCACACCCAGCAGCTCAGTCACGCCAGGCTGGGAAGGACAGAATGGCTGGATGCAATGTGGGGCTCAATTCAGCATTCCCCTAGCAACACTCCCCACCCATCTCTCCTTGAGGAAACTGAGGTAGGGGGGCTTCCAGATGCTCAGCATCTCTCTCCCAGCCTTGATCCTCCCTGGCATTCCTCCCTTCACCATCCCTACCTTTTTAGAGAGGTGTAGGACAGCCTTGAGTGGCGCACTGGATGTGTCCTGACCCTTGCAGCTCTGCACCTTGAGGAACTTGCTAATGACCAGCTTCCTGAGGGATGGGGCATGGAGATGCTCATTGTCCACCACTGTGGTACCTGGGCTTCATCCCACTGTGCCAGAAATGGGGGAGAGGGAGAGGGTGCTCCCTACTGACGCATGTCCCTGCCGACTCCCCTGCAGCTGCTGCAGGAAACCCATGCCTGTCCCACTGTGTTGAGTCCCCACCAAGCTTGAGATCAGGCTGAGACCAGATACAACTGGCAATATGTGGCTTCAGTGCCACTGAGACCAGGGCTTAAGCAGTGCAGTAGGGACTTTAAAAGCCCAGACACCTGCGGCAAGTGGACCCTTTGTGACCCACTCTGCTCCCATGCCCTGACCAGGCCCCCTGGCCTGCTCTGTCCCCCATTCAGGGCAGAGATCTCCCTTGCCAAGACAGGACTGCCCAGCATCCCAGAGGCCAGTGATGGGTCCCCATGTCCCGTTACCTGTGACCGTGCTGTTGTGCTTGCTCCTCTGTGGTGATGGTAGAGGGGTGTGCAGCGTGGCTGCTAGGCAGCGGTGGTAAGAGCGGCAGTGTGTCAATGTGCCTGGGGAGGGCAGGAGCGGTGGGTGGGTGACAAGGGACAAATGAGCCACCCCAGCTTGGGCAGAGCACCAAAACCCATAGGCTTGTACCCCACAGATCCCTCTGCCTGCTGCCCTCAGGGTGGTGTTCCTGGAGGGAACATTCCACATCTGAAACGCATGGCTTCAGAGGGGGCTCAGCAGAGTCAGACCCTCCAGACCCCTCAGCAGAGTCTAACCCTTGTGCCTGAGACAGCAGGGCATCACCAGCACCCATCCCCTGTCCCACCCACACAGACCCCCAGTATACCGGTGCTGGGTGCTACTCACGGGCCAGGCACCTGCATGTTGAGCTGCCGGTCGCAGGACAGGCACTTGTAAGGAACCAGCAGCTGCCTAAGGGAGGAAGGGCTGGGTGAGCTCCTGACAGGGCTGCAGTGCACACAGCCAGCAGCTCACAGGCAGCAACAGGAGCCAGGCACATTGCTGCAGGGAGCCTCAATGTTTGCAGGTGAAGCTGTGGCACGTTGAGCCTTCCCACCCAAGGGGACAAGGAGATAAGTTTGCCTTGGCAGCACTAGAACTGCTGAACAGTGGCTGTGGCCCATAGCTGCCCAGAGCAGGCAGAGATACGAGGGAATAAGGGAAAGGGTGCAGGCACCCACACTGCCATCCAAACCAGCCCTTTCCCCAGTGTCATCACCTTGTCAGTGCTCACAACTCCCTTGCATCTTGCCAAGGTGGGCAGGTCATGACTGAGGCCTGTGGAACCATGTGTTGCACCCTTGCCCAAGTGAACAACCCTGTGTTCTCCATCCTTGAACCTCTGCACCCACACCCCAGTTCTGGTTTGGACAGCTCTGTTTTGCAGATGTCCATTTGTGTGCTTCCTTTGATGTGGGGAACCTGATACTGATGGGTGAAGAAGGTGTAGCTGCAGCATCCCTGCAGTTTGTTGCCTACATTCTTCTGGGGTCAGGGTGCTATACAGGAAGGAACAGGCCAGTGCTGTTGCCAAAGCCAGTACCATCCCACTGCACTCACTGCTTAATTCCAGCAGCATCATCAATCTCTACCGTCAACTCATCCTTGAGATCTTTAATGTTCCTTGCCCAGGTATTCTCTAGCTGCTTCTGGAAAGGCCCAAGCTCCAGGCGATCCAGCTGTCAACAGATGTACACCCTTAGCCAGCTGCTCCAGGATGGAATATGGCAGTCCACAGGGAAAAGCCAGCAGAAGGGGAAACCTCAGAGGGAGGTTGCCTCAGGCTGGAAAGCACCCAGGGAGTTTTGTACTGTGAGGATACGGCACCCCTCACCTTGGAGTCCAGGGCATCACTGAACCGCTGCTGGGCCTCCTGCCAGCGCTGCTCCTGACCTAACACCCGTCTCAGCAACTCCCGCATCCTGTCCTCCAGACGCTCCATGCTCGCATCAAAATGGGCACAACTGACTTTGCTGCCCAGGGCAGCTTTGTCCACTTTCTAGCAAGGAGGAAAGGCAGGAAAGCAGTGGAGACAGGGCCAGCATGTGTTGGGGACAGAAGCAGAAATGTTCCTGTGGGGCCATCGTGCCCTTTTCAGGGTTGCGTGGCCTGCTCACCCCATCACCCCCAGGGGGTCAAAGGGACTTAAAGAGGGAGACAGAGGGACTTGGCAAGGAATCTGCAGCCAGTCTGGAAGTAATCACACCCTCCCCCTTCCCCATCCAGGCCAGTTTTGCCACTGCGCACCCAAAGGGAAAAGGGCATTTACCACCCTGCCCAAGGTCCCTTGGGCTGAAGATGGACCTCTCAAGACCTTACCAGCAGCAGCAAGTCCTCCTTGTCTGCTTTCTTCTCAAGACCCTCCAGGGACCGGAACAGAGCCTTCCAATACAGAAAGCATTTCATGACACCACAGCAGGGTCAGATGTGTTCTGGCCAGCCAGTGCTCCCTGCTCTTTAGCAAAGGCCATTTGAACCAACAAAGGGCTTGCAAGCAGGTGGGCAGGGGATCAGACCTCTGTGTGATCAGACCAGTCTCGGTGTGCCTGGGGGATACTTTGACCCTGTGGGGACCAGCCACCAACCTCAATATCTTTCTGATGCTGGCGATGGTCATCCCGGAGGCTCCCTGTGACGTAGCTGAGCTGCTCACAGTCCCCTTCCACCCGCACAACAGTGGCCTGGATGCTCTTTAGCAGCTCCTCATCCTGCTCCAGGGAGAAAGATGACAAGATAGTGTCATTCAAGGGGTATCTGGCTACCCTCAAGGACAGATCCGGGTTACTTGGCCATGAACCATGAGCCCTCAGTGCCAGCCAGACATTTGTATCAAGGCTTTAATTTCCTGCCATACTGCCAACCCATCCGAACCAAACTGGGAATTAGCAAGGGGCTGCTCTGTATTACAGTGAGCACAGACAGAGAGTCCTGATACAGCCTCCCCCTCACCATGTTGCCACCTGCCCACCTGGGTTTTCTGTGGCAGTGATGTGTCCACCTGAGGTGGCATCAGAGAGTCCACCTGCTGCTGGAGCCTTTCACAGCGGTGTAGGAGCTTCCTCACAAGCTTGGTGTCTGTGATGCGTTCAGGGCACGGTGCTGGTGACTGTCCCTGCTGCTGCCCCACAGTCCCCATCATTGCCCTCAACTCATTCAGCTGCAGAAAGGGGAGAAGGAATTGATGCTGAGATAGAATGGATGCAGCCAGCAGAAGCTGGTGCCCAGATGGCCCTGACCAGGCAGGGAATGTGGCCAGGAACCCAACAAGGAGCAGCCTGCCACTCAAGACAACATCTGGAATGCTGCCTCCAAACCTCACCCGCTCCTGAAGCTGGTCAGCTGTGATCAGCTGCTTCAGTGTGGCATTGGTAATCTTCTGCTCCTCTCTCAGCTCCCTCTGCTCTTGCTTAATCTCCTGCAGTGCAGACCTAGCCAACAAGATGAGGGCACAGGCAGGCTGAGCCTCCACAAGGCCACCTGAGAGGTGAGCTTTGCTTCCCAAACCCGATGCTCCTGGATTGCCAGCCCCCATACCTCCCAGCTCCCCTGCAGCCCTGTAGGATACAAAATCCTCTGCCCATCCTCTTACTCCAGCTGTGGAGGGATCTCGTTGGTGCCATCCACTTCGCACTTGGCTACAGCCACACCCAGATTTCCAAGGGCATCCTGCAGCTGTCTGATCTGGGAAGAGTGGTAGTGGCAGAGTCAGGGCATGGACCCCATGGTCTCCTTTGCCTGACTCCTCTCTGCCAACTCCCCCTGGCATCCTTGAAGCCCCTTAGGGACTTCTATGGGCTTACCTTCTCCTTCTCATCCTGCAGATCTCTGGCCAGGTTCTGCAGGGAGGACATCTGGCCCTGGAGCTCAGATAGGTCTCTGATAATGCTCTCCATAGCTGGAATGCCTTCTTGGGAACAAGGCTGTGTCCCAGTGGTGCCACTTTGGGCACTGGGGGCTTCTGTCTGCATTCCAGGGGTGGTGCTCTGGGTACCAGGGCTCTGCCCCAGCTTGTCCATGTCTGAAGTGTGGGGCTTGGCAGGGGTAGGATGGCCGGCAGCATCCTGGAGGTTCCCCTGGAGAGGGACTGCAGTCAGGACCCAGGAGCATCCACAACTGAGCATTTGCCCAAGCCAGAGAGACCCTGGGTGGGCTGTGGCTGCCAAGTAATGATTGATCTTTACCTTCTTTCCTTCCCAGCACCCATTTCCCCTTTTTCAGGGCTGTTTACTTCAAAGTGCATCAGGAACCCTTTGGCTGAGGCAGGCAGTGACCTCTACTACCAGGTTGATTTGCTGGCAGAGTTGGGGCCTCCTAATGGGCAAGGCTGAGTTTCCATGCTTCCCCCACAGGACACCCTTCCCATTCTTCCCTCCCAGTGACATTCACACTGAGTGACACCCATGGACACAGGGCAGGGGTGGCAGGGCAAGGTCTTGAGAGGCAGGAAAGTGGGGAGAGTCCAATTCCCTCCCAGAGGCAGCAGCTCACCTGGCCAAGTGCTTCCTGGATCATCCGGATGCCCTCTCCCATGTCAGATTGTGTGGCCTTCATCTCATTGATCTCCTGACGGAGATCCTTGCAGAGATCTGTGGTCTAAGAGAGGGGGTGGGGGGGAAAGACCTCAGGGGACGGTCCCTGGGGACCTGCAGGACCTTTGCCTGCACCACGATCTGCACCACCAGATAGCTGGGCACTGTGGGTTGCACTGTCCATTCATCTGGTATGTCCAGATGAAGATGCAGCTGAACCTCCGCTGCACAGAGAGGTCACTGACTGCTGTCTCAGACCTGCGACAGGCTGATGGTGGCAGCTCACCTGACCAAGTGCCTCCTTGATCCTCTGGATTTCCTCTCCCATGATGGACTGCATGGCCTTAATCCCAGCCATCTCCTTGTGGGCCTCCTGGGAGAGACAGGTGGCAGGGGTGAGCCCCAGGGAAGCAGCTCCCCAGAGACTCCCACTCCTGTCTTTGGGAGCCTACAGCACACTCTGGGTCAGCAGGAAAAGACACAACATGGGAAGGACCCAAAGCACCCGGAGCAGTGTTTTAGCCCCAGATTTTCTCTCCAAAGCTCCATCCCTTTCCCTCAATGAAAGTCAACATGCTGCTCAGAGCTTGGGCTTCAAGCAAACCTTTGCATAATGGCACAGACCCCAGAGGAGGGGCCGTCTTGGGGGGAACACGCAGGGGGTGGGAAAGCCTCTACCTCGGAGATGCCACTCTCTTTGGGTTCCGTTTTCTCCATCTGTCCCATGTCGGCAGCCACGGAGGTGACAGGAGAGCCGCTCCTGGTGCCCTGCAGCTCATCCTGCTCGGGCGGCTGCTCGCCCGTGTCCCCCGCTCCAGCCCCGGCGCCGGCCCCGCCTTCCTCCTGCGGCGGGCCGGGCCGGGATGCGGCGGGCTGGCTCTGTCCCGGGACAGGCGCGGCTTCCTCGGGGATCACGTCCTGCAGACCCAGCAGGCTCAGGTGTCCCAGTATGATCTTCAGCAGTTTGCGGAGCGCCTCCAAGTTAACACTGACTTCGGGCGTCCCGATGGCCTCATCCAGCAGCTGTGACAGGCTGGCTGAGGCCATGGCTGCTGCCCTGCCCGAAAACACAGCACCTGTCCTTCCTCCGTGCTGGAAGGGAGCTGCAGCTAGGAACGTGGGCAGCTGGCAGCCTCCTTCCTCCTCTTGCTCCCCTCCTGAGCCCGCGGCACGTGTGTGTGTTTGTGCTGCCGCTTGTTGCCGGGTAACGCCTGCAGCCGGTTGTCACGGAGTCATGGAAGAGGCCGGGCTGGAAGGGACTGCTTCCAGCTCAGCCCCGTGTTTGCAGCTGTGGTGGGCCAGGGACCCCTGGATGAAGAGGTCCTCCCTGATGGCCCCCTTGTTCATCACCCACCCCACCTTGGATTGGGGAACCTGTGGTTAGGAACTCCAAAATTCCCTTGCTCCCCTTGATCGCCATCTACATTCCACCGTGGGCTGGCAGGGACAGCACTGGGGCACCGAACCCCTCCGTCCCCTTGGGCTGCCCCGTGCAGCGCGGAGGGCAGGGATACAGCTGCCGTGGTGCTTCCAGCCCTGCGGCTGAGCGAGGGTCGTCTGGAACTCAAGTGCTTCAGCAGCTGGCCCGGACACGCACACACACGGACACGCGGCCTGAGTTAGGGACCCCGGGGACTCAGATATCTAGATGGCCTCTGGATAGCACCCAGACGCCCAGATGGGCCCCCAGGACCAGGATGCGATGCAGATGTCTGGGTGGCTCCCCACAACCAGGAGGAGACACACGTGTCTAGGGTTCCCCCCAAGGACAGAATTGGAACACTGACACTGTCCCCTCATGACCAGGAGAGGATCCAGGCATCATTTGAGGGTTCTGAGGGGAGGCAGTTTTGGGGCAGTGAGTGGGGGTTTCCCCATCACCTTCTGCACAGTGTAGTGGGTGCCCTTGGAGCTGCTGTCATCCTAAGGGGATTCCCACTCCACCATCACATTGAACTCCCAAACCTCCTTCACCTCCACTGCCCAGACGTGGAAGGGGACAGCAACTCTGTGGGGCAGCCACTCTGTGGGGCAGCCTTTGCCCCATGACCCTTAGGGTGCAAAATAGTCCCCCAAACCAGTCCATGTCCAACAAACATCCACCATGGACTACAAATACTCCCCCAAAATGCCTGGCCTAGCACATCCAGCCCCCAAATCACCCCCAAAACACACTGACTGCTCCTATTGCCCCCAGCACCTTCCGTCCCAGTATGGCCCAGTGATCCTGGTACTCTCAACCCAGTGCTGCCAGTACTCCTACACTAGGACTCCCAGATGGGTAGCCCATCTCAGTGCTGCCAGTGTCCACTGAGAACATGCAATGAGAATGCCCTCCCAGCCTGTCAGTAAGCATGTCCTACAAAGCACAGCCAGCCCACTGCCCCCATCCTAGTGCTCCCAGTACATTCAGTCCCAGAGCTCCCACTAGTCCTCATGCCAATGGTGACATGCAGTAGGAAGACAGCTCTGCCTAAGATTTTCTTTGATGTAACCAGGATTTACAGCTCAAATTTTAAACAAATCACCTCTCCTCTGGTGAGAAACTTGTGAATGATTGTTAACACCCTAGCCCTGACCCTGACATAGCAGGTGTATTTGGGGGGAGTAGAGAGTCATGGAGCTGGGAACAGGGCCACCTCAGTGTAGGGAAGTCACTGCCCATGACCCTCAAATGGCATGTCCCCTAAGAGCCTGAGGGCCCTGACCTCAAAGTATTGTAACCAGTGCCCAGAGGTCCTTGTCCCCAGGAAGTCCCCATTTCCACTGGAGGTCTCCAGCTAGGAGCAGTACCCTGAAATGGGGCTAAGGGTCCCCATAGGTCTGGGGTGGGTCACCAGTCTACGTGTTCTCATGGGTCACCGGGCACCCTGAAGACCTTGACCCTGTGAGGGGCAAGTGATGCAGAAGGAGTTTGTGTGCTGATGCCTCCCTGCCCATGCACCACTGATAAGTTCTGTATCAGAGAAGGTTAAAGAACAAGTGAATTGCACAACTCATGGTGGTTTTTATGCAATTTTAGATCTGTGGAGATGATATAGCTGACCTGTACTTGTTGACAGGCCTATGTTTATGTGCAAGTGCTTTCTTTGTTCAGAGTTAAGAGTCAACTAAAAGTCCCCGAGTATTTCAGCAGGGATGGGTGTGTGGGTAACCTGGTCCTCCAGGTCAAATTAAATTAAAATCATAAACACTATTCAAAATGCAGAGTCTAATCATGTGATAAGCTTCTGCAGCCCCGAAACTCCTACAAGAACATAACAACATAATATAAAGGGCCAAAATCTGCAGATGCCTTTCTAATAGTGATTCTTTGCCACTCTGCAAATCTTTCAGACCAGGAGACTATGGAAAAGAGGAGCTGCTGCTCAAGCAGGGTGTTTCCACATATATAGAAGGTACATACTTGCAATACTGTGTAAAGAAAAGTATCCTTAGACTTAAAAGGATCTTCAGCATATGGTTTGGTCTCTTGGTTGTGAGTAGATGGCAAAACAATACCACCAACACCTGCTCAGTTGAATCTGATCAAGATAAATAAGTTATAGGTAAACAATCACCTGCTTAGTGTGTGTTTAATAATAGCATACTCGGAATCCAGGTCATTTGTAGTTAGAGTGGCTTCTTGCAATCTCAGTACTCCGCTCTTAAGCATCTATTTTATTGGAGGAAGAGAGTAATTCTTGCCAAAACTACAGCTAAATCACTAGAGACAATAACATAAATCCTGAATTTGGTGGGGTTTTGTTTTCTTGTTATAACTAAAGGAACTATTAAGGAGAAAACTGTAGGCTAAAACAAGAGTAAAGAGAGAAATTATTTATTTATAACACATTAAGAACACTGTTCACAGTACATCATTAAAGGGTGATTACATAATAAGGTGATCAGAAAAGGGTGACTTAAAAAGCTGGTTAAAGACAAGGCATAGATTATAGACTAGTCATGGAAACTGGTAACCTTTTTCTTCCCATAAGCAAACTGCACAGATAAAGACTGTCTCATACTGTTTCTGCAAAGGTAAAAGATTGATTTACTCAATCTGTACATTTTCTTTATATTGTATAAGTTTACCAATACTTAGATTAACATTTCATATAGTTTATGATGTTAAATTTAAATACAGCATTATGTCTCATTAATTTAAAGTGCAGTTTATCAAAATCTACAGTAAATATTTTTCTTCTTAATCAGTTCTCTTTGGCACAATTCTGGTCTGTCTAAATACAAAAGTGTAGGATTGAATAGAGTATTTAACACTGCAGGTACTTGGAGGGTTTTTTGTTAGCAAATGGATGTGATTTTATGCTTACCACAACCTTATTCACAAAGAAATAACTGTATATGAATTTCAGTTTAATTTATATATAAAATGGCTAACCGCTTCAACGTGCAAGGCAAAAAAAATAAAATTGTTACAGCAACACCTCCTTTGAGAGAGTGATTTTTGCACCATGGAAATCTTGTATAAAATGTTATAGAAAATGGAGATTTTTAATGAGGAAGTTCTTGGTGCTTCTTATGTTACAGCAAGCCACCTGAGGACATGATTTTCTGGGTCAATAAATGGTTCATAAGATACAGTTTAGCTGACAGGTTGGCACTGTAGTGGTGTTGCAGCTAGAAACTTGCATGTTCAACTGATAAACTAAACCAAAGAGCCAAAATAATCAGTCTGTGTAAGAAGTTTAATGAAAGTGCCTTCTTTCTATGAGAAACATCTCATTCCTATATTCTTGATATATGTGTGTGTATATATATATCTGCTTTTATTGCACGGAAGAAACATTTAGTATTTCCACTCTGCACTTTTGTCTTCATGACCTCTGCTTACTTTTGGGCTGACTAATACTTTGTTAAAATCGTAAGTGGACAACAGAAAATGGACTTCTATTTCTGATGGAAATGTACAAGGAGGCCATTAAAGTTGACCTAAACAGATAAAGTATAATTTTACCAAAGCTCTTCAAATGCAAGAACAGCAAGCTCAGAACAATTTAATTCACATCTAAAGGCCAATACCAGCAGCTGGCGTTCGCATGAAAGGTATGAGGAAACTTAGCTACATAAATACTGGACCTCTTTCAGTGACTAATTATTTCACAATTGAATGAAAAATAAACCCTATTCACAGTAAAATGTACTTATTTCAAGGCCCTTCTGGTCTGTTTTTTCCTGAATCATGCAAGTAGTATCCCCTCAGCTGCAGAAATTAGCATTTTGGCAAATGATCAAGTTACAGGAGTTGTCAAGTACTGTGCAACCTGTTTAGAAGGCAAGGCTGTAAAAAAGGATTTCATACAGATACTTTGTGATGTGGCAATGTATAATGTATGCTGTGCTACTCCTGAGTAAAACACATTTGGCTATCCCCCAGCTAATGACCCATTTATGAACATGCTGATTCCAGAGAGGCATTTTACAGCCTCAGGAATAGTATATATTCTGAAAAAAAAAGTATTTTACAACTGTCTTTTTCTTTAGCCTGTCAGTAAGGACTAACAATGGTGAGTTCAAACTGTTGAGGGAGATGATGAGAAGGGGCAGAACTGGTAAAGAGAATCAGAGTCTGTGTGGTAAAATCAGATGTAAGATGTAATTCATTCTCAATTTCCTTTAAACTTTTTGAGATATTGCATATGGCCATCTCCCTTAGTGCTCCTGTTTTATCTGAAAGCTACTGGCTTTAGAACTGGGATGTCTGTGTGAAGGATATGGTATCAGATTTATCTACAGCAAAGCCTCCATTGATGTAAGATTTCTTGGCTTGTGTTTCATCATTATCAATTCCTGTTTCCAAGGCGAAAGGATTGACTATATTGACTTCAGAGGTGACATCCATCTGCTCCAGCTCCTTTTTGGAGAGCTTCTCCACTACTCCTGTACCAAAGGCATCTCCCAAGACGTTCACCATTGTTCTGAACCGATCCCTATGAAACAAAAAAGTTGTCAAACAAGCCATTCAGTTATTCAGAAAATCCTCTTAGTAAAAACAAGGTACTCTATCTTATCCAGTGCTGTTTTCTTCCCAGTGCAGATTTGGGTAATTATTCAATTAAAAGAAAACAGTCTTTTAAAACAAGAATCAGAATTTTACTCACAGGTATTTAAAGAAGTGTGGAGTAATTTTAATGAGATTTTGTACAGGACATGCAAAACTGCAAATCATGTCATTTG